AGTACTGAAAATTAAACAAGTAAAAAAAGGTTTTTTACATAATTGGTGCGAGTAGTTGAAGTAAAAGAAAAGTTAAAGAAACTGAAAATTAAACAGCTTTTAAAATTCTGAAAAAAAAAATAAACAAGTAAAGGGAAAGGGGGTCCTAGGTTTAAAAATAACATGGATCACCCCACACAACACCCGGTAACCGTTTATCACGTGGTGTTATCGCGTGGTCATCATATCCATGTCTACCCTTACCCACCCCGTTAAGGTATCAAATCGCGGAATAGTCCCGTTACTTATTGCATGCTATTACTCGTCCCAATCCTATGAGCCCCGGAAGTATTAGGGACTACTAGTCCTAAAGGGGAGGGAGAATTGGCTTTTAGTGGTTTAAAAGGATAAAAGTCTAAGGCGACAGTCAAAACATATATGACAAGTATGGGGAAGCACATAAACAGGTAAGGCTCAAACAAAACCTCCTTAAAACAAAGAGAAACATATAGTTTTAGCATGTCTTTTAGATACTGATTAGGTCTAATTAAACTTAAAATGTTAAGGCGTGGCTGATTTATCACATATTTTCATATAAGAAGTCCGAATTAGGCCTGCCTGCTGGTTGTAATTATTAAAGACTGGTGCAGTTGATTAATTACCTAATGGCTTGCCTAGGTGAGACCTATAGGCATGATATCTAGCAATGCGGAAGTATACTGATTTTAAAGAAGGCTTGCTGATCATAGAAAACATAAGCTCTGCAGGTATTGAGTATCGGTATTACTGATTTTTAAGCTTGTTGACGATTCAGTTTTGGTTGATTACCCCTATAGACATGCTTTCTAAGCGCGAATGGTTTGAAAAACGTTTATAGAAATGTAGGAGTCCTATAAGCATGGTATCTATAATGCAATTTGTTATTTAAACCTATAAACCGTTTGCCTAATGATAGATGTAAATGCAGAATTTAAGAGATCCTATAGACAGGTTATCTATATGATGCAAGAGTGCAGAAGCCTACAGTCATGGTATCTATATGAATGCGAAGCCTTAAAGACATGGAATCTATATATGCATAAGTGCAGAAAACCGAAGGCATGATTTCTATATCTGAAAAGTGTGGAACTATAGGCAGGATTTCTATATGAAATGCACAAGTGAAAAGCAGTATGTGATTACAGGAATAAATACCTAAGAACATGATGTCTACCCGCATACATACATGAGTGACCCTCCCCTTTTCACTATAAACCCCATAAGTTATTACAAATTATTACAACCTAGGATGAATAAAGAAAAGTAAAATTACATCAGAAATTAAAGTACAACCAAGGAGAGCCTGATTCAGACTCCAGGTCTGAAATATGAAATAAACCAACTCCAAAGATCCAATTTCCAAAGCCTTTCTCATTTTCTGGGTGTGTCAGATTTCCCAAGAGCCTCATGAACTCCGGGCAGTGCTAACACCCAAATTCATTACAGAATTGAATTATAGTGCAGTGTGGAAGGGTCAGCCCTCAAATGTCCAAGTTCAGAGGGAACTCAAGGTCCCCAAAGCAAGGCTCATGGGAGGGGGGCAGAACTTAGAAACTAAGAGTGAGTGTAAGTGCAGAAAGGGGTTTAGGGGAAAAGCCAAGACAGGCTGGTGGTCATACCCAGCAATTGGAAGTGCTGGCACACCCCAACCAGCATGTTAGCCGCATTGTTTGGGAGTTAGGATCCTTTAAAGGATCAAGCACAGACATGAACAACAATTTGGATACTGTCGTGCCTGAACCTTAACTCAAACACATAGAAGGGAATAGGGATATGGGGATCCACAAAATGAAACATGTTCGATAAAATTGACATTGCTGATTAACATTAAACACAGGCAGTAATGTAGTCAGAGGTGTAGGGATTCATAGCAGAAAACAGATGCAAAGAGAACATCACACATATTTAACACTAAGCATACACAGCAAAGTAGACAGGATGATATAAGCTGTGAAATAAACACATTGGGATGAGGCTGAAACTTAAATTAGAACATACCAATTTCAGGGAAACAAGAAAGTAAAAGCAGTAGTCTTGAAAACAAAATTGCAAGCAAACAATCCGCAGGTCTCAGAAGAGAGTAGAGTGTTGGGTGAAGTGTAAGAGTATTGAAATTGAAAGTAAGTAATGTGTGTTAGAGTATTGAACTCAAGGTTATCTTAAAGAGTATTCAATTGGAAGTTGTCAAAGTGCAGAAAGGTCGTCCCCTTTTATAGTGCAGCAAGCAAGTAAGAAAAAGGTAAGAGAATAGTTTTGCAATCAATTACAAAAAGGATTTCCTTTAATTAAGGGATTCTGATTTCAAACGGGCAAAATTAAATAAGGAAAGAGTTTGCTCAAAAAATTTTCCAAAGTAGTACAATAAGGGCAAATACACAGGGGTCTATTCAAGGAAAGAATTTGATAGTAACAAGGTTTGTGAGAATAAGGAAAGGGAATCAATCAAACAGCTAGTAAAATCAAAATTGCAGGCTTTGTTCGAATGAACCAAGTCAGGAAAAGAGAGGAAAGGGTTTTACTTAAGGAAAATCAGTAACAATCAATCAATCCTTACTAAAAGGAATTCGGAATCAATCATACGTTGGCAAAACCTTTTTGAAGGAAGAATTTCTCATATATAAAGCACACAGGTATGTCAAACAAGAAAGAGTTGTCATGTTAATTAGAAAACCTATCATAGAAAAGTTCAGATTTATAAACAAAGAGGTTCCAGTCCAATTTATAGACTCAGAATGAGTATGGGAATTCAGGGTTCCAAAGTAGAACCCAAGTCCAAACACCAAATCAAACTTGCCAAAAACCCTCAGATCTTAGGGTTTCAACTCGAATCTGATACAGCGATGAGAAGACAAGCCATTGAAGCAGGCTTAGAGGTCTCTTTCAGAGACTCATGAGAAACAAACAGATATGATAGCAGGTTTGAAAGCATAAAGAACATGTTTGAGAAAAGCTCGAAACTTAAGCAAGTTTTTTTTTTGAGTTAAAATTATATTCTATTGATACTCAAAAAAAACTTTACAATTTGAGCCCCAGTAGTAGCTTTGACTTACTACTACCCTATTTACATCACAATTAGCTATCCAAACTAAGTGTCTATCTGCCTATATCACTAATTACAGACACTATTTATAAGCAGATCCTATCCAGTTGCTGTAATGCTCCTTTCCATTTGCTATTTTTCTTGCCTCTGATATGAATGTGCAACACTATCTCTCTGCATATTTGGTGATCATCATATTTTCCTTTTTCAAATCTGATTATGTTTCTCTCCCTCCAGACCAGTGCAATAGTACTGGCAAAAGCACAGCTGGTTATAGCATTGATCCCTTTCCTGCTTTTAGCTTTCTTGCATATCCATTCCATTTCAGCTTCCCAATCACCAAATATTCCTCTTATGCCCCAGCCAGTCACATAGTCTAGACCACAGTTTCTTTGTGATTGAGCATTCAATGAATAAGTGGTTAAAAGATTCTACACTATGTCCACAGAATGCACAACCTGCTGGCACTTGAACACCAAACTTCAATAATCTGTCTACTGTTGTTAGTCTCTGCTGTGCTGCTAGCCAAAGAGTGAATCTATGTCTTGGATGTACACTTGTATGCAGCATTAAACTCTTCCATTCAACTCTGCAATACTCAGGAATCAGCTTCAAATACATCTGTTTGATTTGGAATTTTCCATCCTTGCACATTGCCTGCAATCTGTTGTGAATATTCCCTTGAATTTGCTGAAGCTCCATGATCACACCTCTATTATCCAGTATCTTCCTCACTACCCAAGATGTTGTCTTAGGAGTATTCATTGTTTCAATGTCTCTATTCTTTATGTAAAAGCTATGCACCCATCGTATCCATAGACAATCATTCTTTCTTGTTAAGTCCCATAAGTGTTTTATAACTGCTGCTTTGTTCCACATCTTTATGTCCAGTATGTTGAGACCTCCAGCTGCTATTGGCCTACACAACTTCTCCCAAGCTACTAGTGCCTTCTTTGAAGTATTAGCACTTCCAGTCCATAAAAATGTTCTGCTGATAGTTTCTATAGCTTTCATCACCTTCTTTGGAATAATGAATACCTAGGCCCAATAAGTCTGAATACCAAAAATAACAACCTTGATCAATTGACATCTACCAGCATAAGACAGGAGCTTTGCTGACCAACATGTAATCTTTGCTGTTATCTTCTCAATCAAGGGTAAGTATTGATAGACAACTAACTTCCTAGAATCTAAAGGAATTCCCAGATACTTGAAAGGGAGTTTGCCTTCAGTAAATCCCAATGTTTCAAGAATTTCTTCTCTAGTATCTTGATTTATCCCAGCCATATATATTGCAATACTTTTGCTTACATTTGCTTGCAAACCAGAGGCATCTGGGAATCTGTTAAAAGCAGCATTTAAAATCTTAATGGATTCAAAGTCAGCTCTACAGTACATAAGTAGGTCATCAGCAAAGCATACATGTGTACTGTTTAGCTTCCTGCACTTAGGATGAAAGTTAAAATTCCCATTCTGATGCAACTGCCCCATCTCTCTATTCAAATATTCCATAGCAATAACAAACAGGTAAGGTGACATTGGGTCTCCTTGTCTAATCCCTCTCTTGGCTTTGAAAGGCTTTGTTAAACCACCATTCAGAACCAAGGAATATGATACAGTGGTAACACAAGTCATTATCCACTGCACAAACTTATAAGGAAAACCAAGATCAATAAGCATCTGCCTAAGAAAATTCCATTCCAGAGTATCATATGCCTTCCTTAAATCCACCTTCATCACACATCTAGGAGATACTCCTTTTCTAGAATATCCTTTGAATAATTCATGACTTAGTAGTATATTATCAACTATGCTTCTTCCTTCAATGAAAGGTGACTGAGCCTGTCCAATCAATCCACCAATCACACTTTTCATTCTTCTTGTAATGACTTTGGAGATGATCTTATATAGAGTAGTACAACATGCAATGGGTCTATAGTCTTTAACTGTTGTTNAGCTGCAAGATATCTTCTTTCACTAGCTCCCAGTTCCTGGTAAAGAATTCCACAGGGAACCCATCCACTCCTGGTGCTTTGTCTTTAGGCATCTCCCTTATTGCTTCTGTGATCTCCTCCATTGTAACATCCTGAATCAATGTTCTTTGTTGTGATATAGTTAGGCATGGTCCTTCCTTTATTATAGCTGTGTTAGCACATGGTATCTCAGTAGCACAATCTCCCATCAATGACTGGAAGACACTGATGAACTCCTGCTCAACTAAATTGGGTCAGTTAGTTTCAGACCTGTATCAGTATATATGGATGTTATGCTATTTTGGCTGGACCTAATCTTCCACTGGGCATGGAAGTACTTTGTGTTAGCATCTCCACATTCAATCCAGCAAGCCTTGGACTTCTGCCTCATTACTTGTTCCTCCACATTACTCCACTTCTCAATTTCATCTAATGTTATTTTCTCTTCATTAAAAAGGGTCTGTGACATAGGTTTCTGCTTGATTTGACTTTGTATAATATCCAGCTTCTCTCTTGCCTGCTCAAGTCTCTGCTTGTATGAAGCCATATAGGCATTTACCTCCTTCAGTTGTTCCTTCATATTTTTCAGTTTACTCCAGATCTGCTGCATAGGTGCTCCTTCATAATACTGTTTCCATACTTGCTGAATAATGCTCTGAAATTGAGGGAGCTCCATGATGTTTGTATACAATCTGAATGGTTTTGGGTGCAGTAGCTTCTTTCTGCCACATTTGATTAAAATAGGGGAATGATCAGACACTGATGGATTCAAATAATCAGCTTCTATATACCCATACTATAACGACCCCACCGGTCGTTTTGAGCTTTTGCACTTTGATCGCCAGTTTCGGGCATGACTTGCCCCATGTTATGTATTATGACTAATGTAGATCATTGATTTTGGTTTTCAGGAAAATTTGGAATGAATTTGAAAGAACAGTTTCAGTTGAAAGGTTTGAATTTGAAAGGTTTGACCAAGAGTTGACTTATTTGTATATGAGCTCGGATCGGAGTTTTTATGATTTGGTTAGCTTCGTTAGAAGATTTGTGACTTAGGAGCGTGATCGGAATTGGTTTTGGAAGTCCGGTGTAGAATTAGGCTTGAATTGGCGAAGTTAGTAATTTGGCGAATTCCGGTTGATAGGTGAGATTTTGATCCGAGGGTCGGAATGGAATTTCGAGAGTTGCTGTAGCTTCTTATGTCATTTTTGATGTGTGTGCAAAATTTCAGGTCATTCGGACGCCGTTTGGTCAGGTTTTTGATCGAAAGAGTAATTCAGAAGTTTTGGAATTCTTAGGCTTGAATGCGAGGGTGATTCGATGTTTTGATGTTGTTTTGAGCGTTCCGAAGGTTGGAACAAGTTTGAATGATGTTATGGGGTGTGTTGGCATGTTTGGTCGGGGTCCCATGAGGGTTGGATAAGTTTTGGAGGAGTTTTTGGAAGATTTTGCCGTTTTGAGCATAAGCATGTAATGATCCAAAGGTCCATTTTTAGTTCTAGAGATCGAAATTTGATTTCGAGACTTCTGGAATTTCGACAATGAATTATAGGAGTGATCTGGAAAGTTTGGTTTAATTTCATCAAGTCGCGATTGGGTTTTTGACGTGAAACATGAGTTAATTGTTTAACGAGCGAAATGGGTATCACACTAAGCAAATGAGCTCCGAATTGAGTTTCGATTGAAGGGCTATGTTTGTATTATTTTTTGTGACTCATAGGAACAAGAATAATCGAATTCCGAGTTTGTATGATGGAGTTAGAGCCTTTTTAGTGAAATTAAAGATTGCTGGTGCATCAGATCTGGTGTGCACCTTGACCAGATTGGCACTTTTAGCGACCAGATTTGGCTTTTAGCGACCAGATTCGAGTGTAATAGTGTTGTTCTGTTTTTTTTTTTGCTCATTTTGACGTTTTTTTTTTTTGTGAAAGAACACGGCTTGGGGAGATTTTTGAGCAAGAAATCATGGGAAATCTTGAGGTAAGTCACTTGTGATCATTTCTACTGCATAATATTCAATTATCATCGAATAATCCGACTAGATTACATGTTTTTGAGGTGTAAATTGGGGATATAGGTCTAGGGATTTGAAAATAAGATTTGAAGATTTGGAGGCCAAATTGTTATCGGAATTTAGTAATTTTGGTATGGTTGGACTCGTGGTTGAATGGGTTGTCGGATTTTGTGAGTTTCGTCGAATTCCGAAGCATTGGCCCGAGGGCCGGGTTTGAGCGATTTCGGGATTTTGATGTTAACTTGGATATTTTCGAGTGGGCTTTGCTCCCTTAGCATATTTTAATGATTATGTACTGATTGTGGCTAGACTTGGAGCATCCGGAGGTCGATTCGTGCAGGCGAGGCATCACGGGCTAGAGTTTGGACCGGATCGAGGTGAGTAATGGTAGTAAATGATGTCCTGAGGGTTTGAATCCCCGGATTTGCACAACGTAGTGCTGTATTGAGGTGAAACACGCGCTTAATGGCGAGCGCGGGGTTGTTTACTACTGGGGATTGTGACTTGGTCCGTCCCGATTAATATTTTACCGCGTATTTGACTGAAATATATTTGTTATCAACATGACTTGGGCCTATTGCCATATTTTGGGCTTCATGCCGACTGCTTGAATCCTTCGTGGATTTTTATCACTGTTTCCTCACTATTTTGATATACTACTTGAACTCAGTCCTGTTGATTATACTCTTTTACAAACTCAGCTGCTTTAATTGAACTTTGAGACTTAAATGATATTTCCACTGTTGTTTGGGCTGAGCACTACTATTTTATTGATGCCTGAGGGGCTTATGATGTTTTCTGGACTCAGTGAGGCCGAGGGCCATATGTGAGGAGGCTTTCAGGCCTCGAGTGTGATGTGAGGAGCCTTTCAGGCCTCGAGTGTGATGTGAGGAGGCTTTCAGGCCTCGAGTGTGATGTGAGGAGGCTTTCAGGCCTCGAGTGCGATGTGAGGAGGCTTTCAGGCCTTATGTGTGATGTGAGAAGGCTTTCAGGCCTTATGTTGATATAGCGCTTAGGCCGTAAGGGGCCCCTACGGAGTCTGCACACCCACAGTGAGCGCGGGTACCCATATGATCTGAGAGTGAGCCCGAGGGGCTGATACTGTGCTGAGTGATTGATACTGAGCCCGAGGGGCTGATATTGTTCTGAGCGATTGATAATGGGCCCGAGGGGCAGATTACTACTCACTATTTACTTGTTGTTTTACCTGATTTACCTTTTTTTAAAAGGAGATTTCATTTGATTCTTTACGGTTTTACTGCTTTGAGTAATTTACTGCCTGATATAGAATTGCCTTGTGCATTTATGTGTTTTCATGCTTTCAGCCATTATTTATTCTTATTACTCACTGAGTTGGAGTACTCACTTTACTCCCTGCACCTCGTGTGCAGATGCAGGTATTTGTTCACCCGGTAGCGGGTTTGAGTTGATCGGAGGCTAAGTTTATTGGAGTTTAGCGAGGTGACTGCTAGCGTTCGCAGCACCGCTTTTCTTCCTTATGTTTATCAGTTCTCTTTTGTATATTTTAGGCCTTGTAGTTGTAATTATACTCTGATAGATGCTCGTGACTTGTGACACCCCGGTTTGGGCTGTGTCGGGATGGTTTTCCTTGTTATTATCGATGTTTCCGTAATTATGGCTATCTTAAACATGTTTTAGTTTTGTTTATGTTAATTAATTGTTTAAAGGAGGTATTTCGTTTGTTCTGGCTGGCCTTGTCTTCACGAGAGGCGCCATCACGACCGGGTTCGAGAATTGGGTCGTGACAAGTTGGTATCAGATCCTAGGTTACTAGGTCTCACGAGTCATGAGCAGGTTTAGTAGAGTCTCGCGGAGCGGTACGGAGACGTCTGTATTTCTCCTCGAGAGGCTGCAGAACCTTTAGGAAAACTTCACATTCTTGAATTCTTATCGTGCGTCCTTGATTCAGCTTGAAAAGTAACTCTTGAAATTCCTTCCACGCTTTCGCATGCGCGCATGAGCACTCAGTATCAGATGTGCCTTGATGGCTTGTGATTCCTCAATGGCGAGATGTGATCTCTGTGAGTTGATGTTGGGCCAGTCTGGAGGACTTGAGGCCGGATCTTTGCCTATGGCTTGAGCGACCGAGGTGCTGATTGTGTGAGTAATTATTTTGAACTTATATGTTCGGTATTGTCCCTATTAGTGGAAGTGACGGCTGGATAGCCATGTGATGAGTATGTTAGTACTGCGAGATGTATCTATGTAACTTGGAAGTGATGAGGAAGGTCTGCTGGATGATAGAAGAACTATTAGGTGTTTGAATTCCATCGTGATTCGAGGTATATCCCCGAGTTATGGGCGTGTGAAGGATCTTTTCATGTTTTCCGGTTGTGGGTGAAATAAATTTCATGTTGCGGTATCAGTTCAGACTTAGAAGGCTAAGTAACGGTGTAATATGTATGACGGTGGAAGGTAAACAGAAATGTTATATTGAGGTAAAGCAGATGGGTTATCTCCTCCGGAGCGTTCTGAAGTGGTGTGATCCTTATGTGTACGTTAGAAGATCTCATGTGTAATAGAAGGGTACGTGTTGAAATTTGAAATTTCGGGTCGCTTAAGAAAGTGCGTTTATCTGTTGCGGGGATGAATGCGAGATTTGCAGAAGATTTACAGTACTGGATGACCTGTGTTTTCACAAACTTATGAATGATTTGAGTATAATCTCACTATAGTATTGTGGCATCAATAAAGTAAAAGTGTTATGAGTTATTGAGTGTATCTTGATCTATGGCTTCGAGCCAAGTGGGGGAGTCTGTTGTGAGCAGTTGATTGCACGGTTAGGTGCTATGTTGGTTCCAGTTTGAGGTGTGCGAGTGAATTAGCTATGGCTAGAGTAAAGGAAGAGTTTGACAAAGGATATATTATGCTTCACAGAGTATGAGAATCACAAAATGTCTAGGTGTTGTTGGTAAAGGATGCTCGGCGCATAGAGTAGGAAGTTGCTTGGTTGTATTGGGATGAGGATTTCATTTTGCGGTATCGGAGTGCCAATGAGGCACGGGTGGTTCTGTTCGTTAGCGTTAGTAAGTTGCATTTGAATAAGAGTGAATGAACTAGCGAGCGATGGCTCTAATAATGTTGCCAAGATCCTACAGGACACGGTATTTTAAAGTTCATATGTGGTTAGAAGTTGTTTTTTTTCATTGGAAGGCGGGCAAGACTTGTTATTTTCGAGGTGCAATTATGCGGTTCCCTATGTATCGACCAGAAATCAAAGTAACGGATTCGATTCGCAGAAGCTTCTCAAGATTAAAGTATTCGGGAACCGTGATGTTTTGGAATATTTAAGAGATATTCAGTCGGCTATGGTGTCCTTAGACAGTGTGGACTTATGCCTGGATCTCGGGTTAATCATGGGTTGAGAGATTTTGGCACTACAGCACAGAGGAAGCATCAGAGTGGAAATGATCAAGAAAGAAATTTAGATAGAATGGAGTTAGCTCCGATACTAATCGAATCGTATGGTAAGGATATGATCAATTCTTTATATGTGTTCGAGGTAATGGTTCCTACAGGTATTTGCCAAGCAATGTCATTTTCGATGGCTTGCTTTAGCTGGTTTTAGTTTAGAAGGATTCAGTCCTGCATTGAATTTGTCTGCAAACGAGATTGGGGGCCAATCTGTTTGATTGTCCTAC